CGGTACGCGAGAGATTCGTTCCTTGTTTTGTCGGTGGAACGAGATTTCCCAACGAAATTTGACAAGCGGCGTACGTACTTCGACGAACGAAATGGATAGAGAAAAACAGAGAGAGAGAGAGAGAGAGAGAGAGAGAGAGAGCGGATCCGAATTCCGTGGCGGCGGATAGTCTTATTTTTCGAACGTTCATTGCAGCCGGCGAAAATAACATTTTGCAAAGTCAGGCGGCTACGCTGGCCGAGAGTAAATTGGAGCTGCAGAAGACCGTGATCGGACTCCGAAAGGAAATTGTCGACACCCGTGATGCGTATCTTGAGACGGAACGACGTTGCCGAGCACTTCTAGACGAATCGTGCAAGCGGAACGAATCGGTGAGCTTGGCCCGCGCGATACGTCCGATTACGATATCTCATCTTGCTCGAAGTAAATCGAAGAGCGGATGGATGGTGCTCGTTGATTACACTTCTATACACGTGAGGTATCGCAGTCTGGGAAAAAACTGGGCGCGGAGGGGGGAGGGGAGAGGAGAGGACATGAAATTGCAGTTGGTTGTTACTGGCTCGCGGATTTTCGTGCACTTACGAGAAATTTAAAGATTCAAAGAATATATGCATGCAATGTACGTGGGGATACGTATACGAAATATATTATATATTATAATGATTGTACTTAAAAGCGGATTTTTCTAGATCTTATTGTCGAGCTCTTCGTACGATTGCAATCAACATTAGACTGTCAATTTTTTGCACTTGTAAGAAAATAAAGTACGAGAATCAATTTCCCTCTTGTTACATTCTCAAAATTACGAACGTGAAAGTTCCTGTACTTTCAGTCAGGCGTTCAAAGTTACGTTGGTACAAATAACGGAGATTGTTCAGGATAATTTTATCAGATTTAACAGTCTACGTCTTTACGAGTATCGTAGACCACTTAATTTTCAAACGAGGTTCATCGAACTTCCGTTTCACCAATTTGCACCAGCTGTTCGGTTATTAATTAAGGGTGTTAACTGCCTCTCTGTGTATGATGCGTTAATGATACAACAGACGATAGAAATTGCTTGCTGTTTAAGCCGATGTCGGCTCGTTATACCGATACCGTATAGCCTATAAAGACGACCCAAACTACCGTGAATTAATTTGCTGCTCGTTGAAATCAACGTGTATACGTGAGTTTTGGCGGGATTTGCGATCACTACGGTTGATTGTTAATTTCGCCGTATTATCATCTCCTACGAATATCATTCTTTTCTCTTCCTTTTAAATTAATCGTGACAATGTGTCTGTTATCTCGCGTAAAAACGTTGAAACTTTCATGAAGGCATTATATTCCTTTATTTTCTGTTGGCTAATGAGAAACAATTTAACACAATTGGAGAGACACATTTTCAAAGATCATTAGAACAAGGTGTGAATAATAGGGACAGGCTTACAACGATGCTGAAAATCCTATATGCAAACCACCTACCTCGGGAAACTTCCTTATTTACCCTGTGGCTTTCGAAGCTCGAAAGTTTATTGCCACGTCGACAAAAGCTTGTTCTTAGTTTCGGCACTTTTCCTCGATTCGTCGCCTATATAACGTTCGCTGCGAAGTTTCTCAACTTGTTTGTTTGACGAATCAGAGATTTCTGTTCTAATTTCGGATTAACGAATTCACCAGATTCGCCTTTAGAAATCGCTGCAGCGGAAACAGCTACGACGTTAGAAATGTTTCGACTGTCAGACTCTGTGGCAAAATCATAACATCTCGTACAACAAAGAGTGTCTTTAATCCGTTTCGTGAAACACGTAATTTCACATTTTGGTGATCACAATATCGTGTCACTTTCAGTTGAAGGAAGAGTACGAGGGAACAGTGGCGAGACTCGAACAAGAGATCTCGTCTCTGCGCGAGTCGCTGATCTCGATCGAGAGAGGCTACGAGAGAGCCAGAAACGCGAACGACGATGGTACGATTAAACAGATCAGGGAGAAAATCGTTTTGAAGCCTGAGGACGATCCTGTGGCAGACATGACGCAGCAACTGATCACGAACCGCGAGAAGATCAAGACGCTGTCGCGGCAGAACGATCGGCTGTCGAAAACACTGTGTCGATTACGGGAGTATCGGGGCCAAGTCCCGACAAACGGATCCAACAAATGACGCACTCCCGGCAATCGTTGGATTCTCTCTGTTCGAATTTGTCATTCCCGAATACATACAGCGATGGTCTTTTTCTATTATTAAATTACATCTAGTAACTTCGAGTAAAGGTTTCGATAAATCTATTATTTTTCGGTGGAAGGATAATCACAATTCTTGGTTATTCTACCGAAATTATTCGTCTAATTTTCGTGTTACTTTGAGAATAATCGAGAATTCTACGTAGCAATGGAATTGTGATTAATCAAGTAATTACACGTTTTACCAAATATACTTATTTAACTTCGGTGATACGATTTTCCTCGCTTCGTAGCATGAACAATACACGTATTTTTAATAACAACGCGTATGTAAATATTCGTCCGCATCGTAATTTCTGAAAATAAAGCGAACTTAATAATTTAAAAACGCGTAGTGAATCGTTTAATTTAAATTTCGAAATAATTTACGACTTATCTCTTCCATTTTGCGCTATAAATGACAAAAATAGAAAAAAAAAAAGAATACGTAAATAGCAGAATGATTAATACCTGTGGCACGATAACGTTTATCTTCCAACAAAAACAAAACAATTATGCTCTAAATAAAAAGTGAGTTGATCGCGATTAGTAGCGACATACGTCGGTGTAAAACAGTGCACATCCCGTCGTTTCCACGATTCGTCCGTCGCGCTCGATAACATGAAGCCCTTCAAGTCATTTTTCCGTACCATCCGGTCCCCGGAACGAAAGCTCGACTTCATTTCCAAGCTTCCACTAGAGATGTCGCAGCTGATACTACGAAAACTCGATCCTGAGTCGCTGCTACGTGCTGCGCAAGTCTCGCGTCGATGGATGAATATTTGCCGGTCTGATCGTCGTTTAAAAATCACGGCAAGACAGTACAAAAAGGCGAAAGAGAATTTTGCCGAATCGCAGAGAACGTCGACCAGCCTGTCTTGTACGCGTAACGCGGATGCAAATGTCAGAAAGAATATCGGCTACTGTGACCTCTTGGATTATGTTCAGTGCGTAGGTAGGCAAACGATCATACATAGAATCGACGAAGTTCTGTAGAAAGACTTGCGAGATCAGTTCTAAAATAAAATACAGACTTCTATAAATAATTGAATAAATGTTAAATCGACTGTGGGCGTGAGACGAAGCAGATTTCAAAGAAAAGTGTCTTTGGTCATTTGGAGATTATATTATAATATAAATATTTCTAATATTTATATTATATTATATAAATATTTCTAATGTTTCACGATATTTCTTTAAAACTGTTTTGAATTGTGTGAATGACAGTCAAATTAAGTATGCAGGCTGCATGCTGTAACTCGTCGCTGTAATTCGCTGTAATTTTTCATGACCTTCTGATGGTTTGACTATGAGTCGAAACTTTCTGCTGAATAATCCAAGGGCGATGAACGTAGGTCTGCTAACTGTTGTTTGCAATTGTTATAGCAAAGGCTAGGCCAGCCTGCGAATGTTTGTTTTAGCCGCCCAGGTCTAGAACTTAAAATATTACGGTATAACTATGTTTGTGTGCATGAGTATGCGAATTACGAAGATTGCGAGGAGGCAAATCGCGAAGGAATCGGATAGATAGCGTGGACGTACGCATCGAGAGAGAGAAAGGCGAGTCGCGAGGGTGTACAGACTGACAATGAGAGTAGTGAGATCACAGAGATTGCGGATCAAGACTATTATAGCGAGTAGCGAGTTGTGAAAGTGTATAAATTTAGCGAGAGCTTTAATATATTTATCAGGAATTTAAAAGAGAAAATACGGCGATGACGAATATGTGTATAATATATAAATAATATATATTATACAATGTTATATAATATACATAGTATAACATAATATAATGTAATATAATATAACGTAATATAACGTAATGTAATCTAATATAATATATAATTATATAATATAAATATGCATAATATAACGTAAGATAATATAAATATATAATATAAATATAAATATAAATATAAATATA